GCTTTAACGTTGCGTTATGTTGAATGTTACACTTGAAAGAATGTTTTCTGGCTATGGATGCGTTAGTGGGAGCACCGCGACGGTTTCTGGCCTGATTGTGTACTTTTCTGTGTAGTCTGAACAAAATTCATTGAGAACTCGACACTGTGCTGAGTGATATGTCTTTCTCTTAATGAGTTCCTAGTGAGTTCTCTCATTATAAATAAACATCCGAGTTTGTGTGGCTTTATAATTTTTGCATGCATGGTAGTGTTCTATTCTGCCTATGTTTGATAAGCAAAATAAAATAGAACGAAGAATAGGTGGTTATTATAAATCTAGACTAAGGAAGCATGGATTATATATTTCTATACTTTTATATATTCAAACGGTTTTAACTCATAATTGTAGATTTTGAAGAGAATTTTCTTCAATCCACGGCAAAGAGTATCTGTGTTCGTGCGGTCGGTGCATATACAGATGGGAACTGCAAATTATCTACTGAATGTCTTGAGAGTATGGGTGTGGCATGGTGAGAAGGCAGATAGACATAAGCAACAATATTCTCTTTTCAGGATCCACGTATTTACTCGCATACATACCTATGTGAATTATCGTTTTCTAAAATAGTGGTTTTGAAAGTTGTATAGAGCCCTAGACAAAGATCTCACAAGACCTTGATCCAGGAGTCGGTATGAACACAGAAAGTCAAGCGCATGGGTGAGTCTAGGTGTGTGTTTGATTAAAGAGAACAATAATACTCTCACTCGCACCCACACCCTCAAGTATTCTTGATTTCTTTTCGTTTTAACAACTTGTGAATCATCTTTTCGTGCTGTACACCAATGACAGGAAGAGAAGAGTGGATGGGGGAGGACATCTTTTCTTTGCTACCAGCATCCCTGCTACTGTGACACATGCGAAGAAAACAGATCTTATCGAAATTTTATTCTTATGATATTAATTGAAGTACGACCAAATAGCATAAAAAAATAGAGCATTTTTTTCTCTATCAGACTTTATAGAAAGAAAGTTTCTTAAAGCTAATTATAAAGAATTACAATATCTGGATCACTATTTATTAATATAGTTAAATTATCACGAAGCAGCTATTATATTAAAATATATACTTAAACGATTGGGATATTTACATTTATGTAGTAAAATTCATCGAGATATTAAAGCAGGAAATATTCTTTTAATAAATGATGGTCATACTAAATTAGCTGATTTTGGTATTTCTGTACAATGAACAATAAGTTTAGTGAATTTTAATAGAATAATTATTTTTTTTTTTTTAATAGAATACAATACTCAAGCGAAATATAATGAACGGTAAATAATTATTATTGTTAATTAATTGAAATAGATTTATTTTAGAAACATCATTTTGGTAAGAATTGAAAATTTTTATAAGAAAAATATGAGAAGACAGATACTTGATTAGGATGGCATCAGAAATGATTCAAGAAATCGGACATAGTGTTTTAGCAGATATTTGGAGTTTAGATATAAATTTTTAATAAAAATTTACTTTGTCTTTTTTAATTATTCATCAATATTAATAGGTACTATAACTATTGAAATAGCTGAAGGAAAACCATCATATAGTGGTATAGTCATCCAATGCATGTAAGTTACTGATTTATTAATTTCAATTAAAAGAAAAAAGAAACTTTGTTATTTAGATTATTTTTATGATTCTATTACGTCCACTTCCAACATTTAAAGATCCAACACGATGGTTATGAGCTTTAAATGATTTTGTTTGAAAAATGTCTTGTAAAAAAATTCTGATGTACGATCAACAGCAGCTGAATTGTATAATATAATTTTTAATTTATTCGTAATGCTAAAGATATCAGTATTTTACGATAAATGACTGACGAAGTTCAAGAAATTCAAGAATGTAAATCTACAATACTATTTAATTTCAACAACAATGACTACATATATTAATGGAGTTTTAACTGAATGTTCAATTGATAATTATGATGCATTAACGAATAATAATCAATATGAAATAATTGTTTCTGAAAATACAATGATTGAATTATCCTCTGATATGATGATTATTAATCAAAATAAAACTGAAACATAAAAATAATGCCAATAGTCAACAAGATATACGTAAGATAGATTAAAGAAAAATAAAATTTTGAATTTTTCATTTATATTTCTGGTTTCGAGACTTTCATTCTAATCGATCATTTACAAGTAACGCTCGCCAGCATGACTCGCTTAACCCTCGACTGAATGATCAGATGCTATCTGGCTTAGTTGTATTGGTGTGGATAAGAAAGCTTTGTTTATACTGATACTGACACCCAAACCCAATGTCACACCCATAACCTACACCCACACCCTTATTGTATAGTGATGATGACAATACAAATTGAAATATTAATTAAAATTTTCATTAATTTAATAAATAATCGAATAATTGATTTATGTTGAAAGAAAGAGTTTTTCATAATCTTTATAAAGTTGTTTATTCATTTGTGTTTCTAAGTGAAATTCATTTAAAGAATATGAATGTCGTCCTTGTTTGCCTTGAGGATTCTCCATTAACCATAGATGCATCGCTTTTTCAAATTCATCAGACCATTGTAAAAAGTGAAAATGATCATAAATACGATGTACAGTACCGATTGGATCTTTTATTGTGTACTCAAAAAGTGAGTACACTCTAGAATCGGTCAGTGTGTCCGGCCGGCCGTCCGTCCGTTTACACGATAACTTTTGAAAGGAGAGTCCGATTGCGATGAAATTTTCTACACACTTTAGTCTCAACAATATCTCGGTCGAGTTCGAAGATGAGACGGATTGACCGAGCCGTTGCTGAGTTATTGCAAAAATAGTCATTTTTCCCTACGAGAAGATAGACCCTTCTCTGTTTTCATAAAAAACTTTTCCTATCATAGTCAAATAAAACCCCAACTATTATACACCACTCGATAGAGAATTTCACGAGCTACAAAATGGTATATAAGACATAAAGAAACAAGAAAGCTAACTCGCCTATTGCAAAGATAATTAATCGAAATTCGGCTCTGTTTTTGTCCACGCTCTATGTGATCCACAATTAGAGCTCTATCTTCCCATCACAGAGATGATAGTTCGAGGTTTTCTGAAATGGAGAACTCGAATCTATGTTCCATTCGCCTCGAAATCCCATTGGTTGAGCAGTGACCAATAGAAATCAAGTTACAGGAAAAACGAGTTTCTTGGGGTAAATCAAGGTGAAGAGTTCAAACCTGAGCTGTATCTGCCTCCAAATCCTATTGGTTGAGAGTAGCCAATAGAAATCAAGTATTTTTATAGAAAAGGTTTGCCAGGATAATAATTTTGATGTCCACACATTCTAGGATGACTCATCTGTCTCATTCACTTTTTGAAGTACACATAACTCTCGGATTTAAATCCGAGGTTTCCGCATTTATTCTTTTACTTAGATAGATTCCATTGATTACAATATGATTAAATATAAACATAACATAATATTAGTACATTTAATTATCAAACAATCATTATTCATATGAGTCGAAAAGAAGTCATGTGACATTGCTCTCATAGCCATATTTTATTACTAAACGACAACTTAAGTTTAGATTCATCATAGAAATAGTTCGTAATAAAAAATTTTATTTAAAAAGACAACGCTTGTAAAATACCGATTTCAAAAAGAATACAAAAGGAAAAATAAAAATAAAAATAAAAACAAGCAATCCATCTATTAGATCCTATTAAAAAAAAGAAACTTCAAATGATTAGATTATATTTTAATGATCGATCCTATGTGAAGTTTATTATTATCATTTAATAAAAATTTTCTTTATCAATTCTAGAGCATAATATTAATCTTAAACCATAAACAATGATGATTATATGATAAAATTCATTAATTTAATTCTTTTTCTTAGTTTTTCCACTGTTGAATTTCATATTATTAAAAAACAGCAACAATAAATAAGAAAAATATTGACAAATCAAGTTCTTCTATTAGAATATATCACTTTCTTCTTTCCATTAAGAAAAAGAAATTAAACATTAAAAATTTATTCTCTTTTGTAAAATATTTCGATTTACTCGAAATAAGAGAATAGCACATTTTCATGTTGTTTATATATTTTGATCACTGAAAAACATTAACATATTTAAAGCAATTTCATACTTTATAAAGTCAATGTTTCAATTTGTTTATTTCTTATGAGAGTATCTACATAGTTTGCATATCAAATAATACATTTATTTTAATTTTACATAAAACAATTCGAATATTTTCAAACAATCAATAACCAATATTTAATGAAAGATTCTAGTGCTCAATCGACATTACCATTAAACTAGGTGATTCACAATGCATTAATAAATAAATCAATAAAAATTTTTATTTATTGATATTACTACCAAATATTAATGATCTATTTAAAATTTCGGATTTCTTTTTATAATATATTATTGATTTAAAGAAGTCATATTTTTCTATTTCAACATGAGTTTCTATGAAATTCTATCGATTGTATAGAGATACATAATTATTTTCTTTTTTTTCCTTCTTTTTGTTTTTTGTTATACGTATTCTAATTAAATAAATTTTTCAAATAAAAATTTTTTTAGATATATTAGAAGAAATAATTATGAAAATTTCTATAGATAAATAATGTATTTGTTTTTGCTATTAAATACACTAAGATAGCTAAATCTACAATTAAATCAAAAATATTAATTATCATAAGAAAGAAAAATTAATCTCCAATGTTCAAAATTGAACCAAAAAAAATAGTCAGATATCACAAGAATTCTCAAAAACAAAAGAACACAAGAAATCGTGGAAATCAATGACGACAAAACAAAAGTTTTTCCTCCTTGGATTTTTTCTAAATGTTTCATTAGTTTATGAAATGTATTTTTCACGAATTACACAACCAACTTTTAACCATTGTGTTAGAATTTATGTAAAACCATTAAGTAAAAATGGAATATCATAACGATTATTGATCAATATTCACTTGTTGAAACTATATTTGATTAATATATGAAAACAATGGATCAAGTGATAATTGATCAATAAATGGTTGTTTACCAAATACCATAAAAATTTTTGTCAAAACATTTATAATTATATTAAAATTTGCTTTTCCATCATCATCTAGACCAAGATTTAGTATATTTTTAATTTTTCTTTCAGCATCCGATGTTTCTCTAGCTTCTATTAATTCAGTATCTACAAAATAATAAAATCCATAAAGAAAAAACGAAATGTTGTTTATTGTTATTGAACCTAAATTTAAAAAAAAAAAACTTTCTTGGTGAATTTTTGTACTAATTTGTTTAAAAACTAATTGAATGGTTGTTAATGATTGTTTTTCCATTGATCAACTGTTATAATTTTAATTCTATGTGATACAGACATTTGCCATGATGATAAAATAAAGTCATTGAAAAAAATTTCAATACCATTATTTGAAACAAGTTTTTCAAGAATAAGATTATTTTTTTGAATGACAATAAATATAATTATTTATTACATCTGATAAAGTATTACCTAAAGCTTCACGATACAAATCAATTGTTGCTAAACGATGAAGTTGTTTTAATGCCTGAAGAGAAATTTTTTCATTTGTACAATTAACAACTAATGATGACAATATATTATTTACAAACATTGAAAATTCCTTCAAAAACAATAAATATATATATATAAAACTTAAAAAGAATTTTTCTTAATATGTCAATACAAATATATGCTGCAAAATTATGTGAAGCTTTATCCATCAAATCATAATCTTGTTTATCTTTTGGTAAATTACGTTGTTCATATGCTTTTATAAGTAATGAACCTACATCAGGCATTTCATTTAATATAAGATCTTTAAATAATGGGATCAGACATTAATCATTTCTAAAAAATGTTCACAATTTTTTTTTAATTATATATTGAACAAAATAAATATTGTTAATAATATTAAATTTCATAGATTTTCTATTGATTTTATCGTACAATAAAAATTGTATCATATTGAATGTTAAATTTGAAATCAACATGAAAAGAGATCATCTTTAAATTAAGAATTACCTCGAATTTTATATTCCATTGCATTTGACGACGTTATTTTTTGTTTCGAATTTCACGTCAACTTTATATCTAAAATAGAATTTAATTAATTATACTATTAAAATTCAATAAAAGATTAACCAAAACAAAAACATAAATATAAGAATGAAAACTCTCTAAGTTTGAATTTCGAACAAAACATTTATTGTCCCTAAAATAGTTTTTTTTTCTCATTATATTATAATTAATATCAGTGATTAATGGAGTTACTTTTAAAAAATATATAATTAATATTAGCATTAGATTAGAATATCTTCTCTTCGAATTTCCCTATATATTTGTTCAAATTCTCTAATTAATTGTCTTAGATAGAGAATGTTCAACTCTATTGAATACTCTAATTTTTTTTTTAAATGGATGTCATTAAATAAAAAGTTCAATTCAACAATAATTGTATATGATATTGGATTCATGAATGTCTATTGAAGACATAAATCTATAAAAAAAAATAAAGCAAAAATAAATTACGTGAATGTTTCAAGACGAATTCGATAAAGTTTTTTATCTATTTACCTGAATATTTGTTTTTATTCTATAACAATATTTTAAGCTTGAGAATAAACAATTTCATATGAATTATAAATGAATACTTTTTCAATTTTCTTTGATTATTCGTTTTATTTTTGATAGGCATAAATATGATTGTATTTCATATAGGTTTTTATCGAGACAATATGGTACCTTCAAAAAAACAACTATTGTTTATTTCATAATTATTTATAAATGAGATAAAATCTTTTTTAAATATTCAATCATTGAATTCCAAGGAAAATAAAATAAAATAAAAGTTACCGTTCGAAGACAATAAAATCATTTTGTATGTTGAAGAAATTATATTTCAAAGTAATCTTTGTAATTTCTTTATATTAGAGATATTGTTTTATTATTATTATTATTCTATGATAGAGATGAATTTTCAACAATATCAAGTTAAACTAAAAAAATAATTGTTAAAAACAAACAAAAGAATTTCTTTTTTATGCTTACCATAACTTTGTATAACTCCGTTAATGAATTGAATTTTAATCAGTTCAATATTACAGTGGACGTCATAAGTCTCGCACCACTTTTTTGTTTTGAGTAGTGCATTTAGACTATACAACCTTAACTTAATTTGATTATATATTCTTGTAGCACAGATCGAGTACTATCTGTATATATCTGTTTCATACGGAAAGCTCTTGAATATAAAGTACAATAGACACAGCAAACTTTATTCCTACGAAAAAAAAATGACACAAAAAAAGACAAAGTGATAATTAACGTGTTTGGAAGAGTTTTTGTTCACAATAGAAATTTGTTTATACAGCATTTGTAGAGCTTTTTACGCTGCATATTTTGAAAGAAAAATCAAGGTGCTATCACTTTCCCAAGTCGAGATATATGCAAAATATGAAAGTCTTTCGATCATTTTTATTAGATGGAAAGTAGCACTGTTATGTACTTTTTTCATTTCGAGTGCAAAAGAAATCATCAGTATAGATGAATAGAGATTTGTTTTTGCAATTTTTGTAGTACTTTTCAAGACACATCTTTTGAAAAAAAAACCAAAGTTTTATCATTTGTTTGTGCAGAGATATATGCAAGACAATTTATACTACTAACATTTCGGGACATAGTGTTTAATATTTTGACTATAAAACTGTCAGTTCTGCATGAAATTTAGAATATTTTTTTAATGAAAATGATCAGCAAAAAAAACTCTACAATCCTATGATAAAATAAGAAGTTTTCTCAATATTTTGCTAATTTTGTAGCTGACTGCATATGTGACAACAATATCATTTGTCTTTTTTTGTGTCATTTTTTTTCGTAGGAATGAAGTTTGCATTGCTTATTGCACTTTGTATTCAAGAGTTTTTCACATGAAACAGAGGTATACAGATAGCACTTGATCTCCGCTACAAAGATATATAATCAAATTAAATTAAGGTTGTGTAGTCTAAATGCACTACTCACAACAAAAAAGTGGTGCGAGACTTATGACGTCCACTGTATGTTCAACTTTCATTAATTGAAAATATGTTGATGTTAATTTGTCTATTTAATCGTTGAAGCAATACCAATTGACAAATTTCTATAGTCATTTAAATTTTTTCTTTATTAAATAATATCTATTGAATAATTTTTTATTGAATTGATTTAAGAATTTCTATGATTATTTTATTTTATCTTAAATTTTATTTATGATAATATTCAAAATTATAGTATTGATTAAAATCTAAATAAATCATTGAAAAATCAAACTTATTATGTATTTTAATATTTGTTTTTTTTAATCTTGCTAAAATTCTTCATATAAGAATTTTCTATTATCAAAATGTCGCTTTATATTCCATTGGTTTTCTTTTTTTTGTCATTGGTACAAAGAATTATCT